TGTGCACTGGCAGCCCCCAAATAATGCCATAAACAGCTCTGGCTAGCACAGTTAACTGGTAGGTTAATAGTGTGCTTTGCAGTGCCTGCCAATGGTTCTTTTGGGTTTGGCTTGTTTGGGTCCAGGTGGGAGCAATTGGTGTTTCAGCAAAGGGTCCTGCAGCGGGTCAGCAGTGGCACGGGGCGGACAGTGAAGATGTCAGTAAGGGACCCCGTTGTTTCGGCAGAGCTTTTTGATTTTGTTGAACTGCATGTCCTCTCCCAGTGGAAGCATAATTTGGCAAGAAGCAGCTTCAGAGGGGTTTTATCTGGGTCTTTATTCATGTCCATCACTGGGATACCAGTATCCACCCCTGGGCTAAAGACCCCAGCCCTGTCCCTGTCCAGAACAGGCCAGAGCCCCCACCCTCGGGCAGGAGGGGCTGTCCTGGAGTTTGCCCTTGGTTGCCACACTGCGGGTTACCCGGTGAGTGATGTGGGAGCCGTGAAGGGGGAGCTGAGGTTGACCCGGGGGCAGGTGATGAACATTCAAGGCTAGAATGATGCTCTTGGCCAAGACAATGCCTTTTAACTTTGTCAATGTTGCTTCCTAATTTGTAGAAACAAACCTTTTGCAAGAGTTGCCAAGTGAACCACGTGTCGTGACACTGCATCGTTCCCTGACAGGTGACACTGTACCGTGGGTACCGAATCAGTGTGTTGCAGCGAGACAGTAACAAAAGGCAGTTCCAACATGGTGTAGTTAGCCGTGCAGGGGCGCAGGTTTTGTCAGGCTGAGGTTCAAACGTGGGCTCAGAACCCCAGGCGCACACCCCACGTGCTGCGATCGGAGTTGTTAAATAACTGATGTTTCTATTTACGTAAACTCAGCTGCAGCCGTGCTGTGCGGGGCCAGGCTTGCCGTGCTCTCAGCACCCTGGCGAGCAGGCGCTGAGCAGCCAGTGTTTGTGGTGAGTAACGGAGCTTCAGCTAACGTGGGCGCCTTGAGACTTTGCAGACAGCACCCCTGATTTCCCTTTCGGCCCCTGGGATTTTGGCGTATGTGTAGCTCTGCCATTTATGCACGCAAAACCCAGCGTGGGGTTCGAGTTGGTCAGCACTACCGAGGTCTAACACTGTCAGTTCCCCTATTCATGGTTCCTCTCTTGCCATCATCTTTCTGTCCCGGGCTGGGACATCTTTCTGTCCTCTCTTTATCTGGGGCTTCTTTCCCAGGAGTACCACTGGCCCGTTCCCTCTTTCTGTCACAACAGTCTGGGATCCATCCCTCTCCGTGACTTTAGTGGACACTGCTTAGTGAAATCACAGAGCATCACCTCCAGTTGCTGCAGAACTGGCACTGGAGCCGTGTGATTCCCTTGAAATGCAGTGCTAGGGGAAACCCTCGGATGTGAAGCATAACTGAATGGATTTAGGAACGCGGTGGTTGACACCTCAAAACGCTGAGCTGCTGGTTCCAGTTCGTTCACCCCCAGGGCCAAGGTGCCAGCGCAGCCAGACCCCAGGGTGGAACGTGTGCGCCTGCGATACCTGAGCTCGCGGTAGAAACCCACCGCGTGCTTGGGCGTCTGGGGAGCACGGACTCGGGAAGCACCCACTGGGTCTGGGTATCACAGCTTCCTGTCTGTCATTTCTTACCCCAAGCCTCCCACAAAGATTCATGGCAGCTACCATCCCTTTGATTGCTGCTGAGAAACATTCCGTGTTCCCAAAGGCTCCTATAAATAACCAGGACAAGTGTGGGAGGTGGTGCCGGGCAGCTGCTGACCCCAGTGGAAGGGGAGATGGAGGGTGGCTGCGCGGGCGGGTGGGGATATCGAGGGCGTATCGCATTCCCCTGCGGTGTGGCAGAGCAGCTGGGCGCAGCTGTTGCTGCAGCGGGGTCAGAATTCCTTTTATCATCTCGCACAACATCGTTGGGGCCACTTTGCTTTTATTAATGTAACTCTTGGTCCCTAAATCTACCTATTTAATGGTTTTGCATATTGCTCACCTGCTTTTAGGGCTTCTGAATACTTGAAGTTGTTGAGGTATCTGTAGCGAGGATACAGAGCGCATGGAATCCATGTCCTGGAAGCACTGGCCGCGGAAGGTTACGGCAGGAGGAAGGCTGTAGGGAAGGGATGTGGCAAGTAGGTGGATGGAGTAGGAGCCTGGAGACATCCAATCTGGTGAGCTGGTTTGAGACGGTTTGTTTCAGGAATTTCTGAAGAAGCATATCAGTTGATCTGAATCCCTCAGACTTCCCCAACCCCTCTTCATTCCCCCTGGATTCCTTTGGGAAGTGTTTTTTCAGGTGTCAAGAGCCTCGTTCTTTCTACAAGGTGTTTCTGCCTTTCAGCTCCCTGTCGCGTCGCAGCCTCGTGCCCCGCGCAGCTCAACCGAGGCGGTGCAGGACGCCGAGTGCACGGCGTTCGCCCTGGCGCAGACTGGGAGCTTTAGGGGAGGGGCTGGGGGCCGCTCAGCTCTGCGGAACAGCGAGCGTAAGCCCCAGTGAAGTCGCCACGCCGGGGTTCAGCTCCTGGGGGTGTAGGAGACGCTGGCAGCGGGGCAGGATGGCTACTGAGGTGTGCAAGAACATGGGTTGTGGCGAGTGACGGGCTGGGTGTGTCAGCGCTGAGGATGGCAACGAGAGGAGCCTGCACACAGGTACAAGTTTGCTGTGAAGGGGAGGACTTTTCCCTTAGCCCGCAGGGAAGAGAAGAGCGTTGTGCCGGGGCGGGTGTGCTTCCGAACCAACGAAGCCTGTCTAACGTCCGGGTCGGTGAGGTGTTGGGAGATGCTGGGCAGGTCGCTCTGAACTTACGGACTTTTACGAACAGTTTACACAGGTCTTAGGCGTTACTTACGTACTGTTTGCACTGCCTGAGGGCACAAAGGTGGGCTCCAGAGAGGCCTCCCAGACCTGTTCATCCAGGTGAGCACATCTCCTCTGCGAGACCGGTGATTCCATCGCACTTGGTTAGGTCGTGCCATGAATGGGTTTGAAAGCCCTTTTGCTTCACAAGCAGCAACAGGTTTGGCACCTGCTGTGACTATTTCTGCATCGTTAGGGTGCAGGCCGCGCGGTGCTGTGCGAGAGAGGCTCAAGGATTGTGGGCCCAGGATGTACTTCAGCGTGTCCATAGAGGTTTGGTTGAGTTTTCTCATCAGGTAGTGGGGTTTAAACGGGGCGTGTCCCTCTCCGTGGGTGCCAGTCCTGTGTCGTATGAGAGACGCGGGAATGAGGTGGTTTGCCGGTTGTCTGGAGCAGTGCTGAGGTGACGCTGTAGGAGAAAGCAGCCGGCGCTCTGACGGGACCTGGGGCGTTCCCAGCAGGGACCCCTGCGGCTGCGGGTTGTCCTCGCCGTGGCAGCTGCTGACCTTGGCTGTTCATCGCTGGGGCAGCGTGCCTCTGCCCGAACGTGTGCTCTGCCCCCTCCGCCGGGCAGTGGGGGGCGCAGAAAAGCTTCAGGTAACGGTGACCCAAGTTCTGGGTGAGGAATGGCGAAATGTGGTAACGCTCCTCAGGCTGAAAACCGGGACAGCTGAGAGGAGATCGGAGAGACCCTACGAAATCAAGTGTCGTGGCGAGGAGGGGACGGGAGCCCTGTGTGCTCTTCCGTGCAGGCATGAACTAGGAGACATCGAACGAACGAGGAGCTGGCAGGGTCAGAGCAAAGGAGGCGCTTCCCACCACAGGAGGTTGGACTATGGAAGGGATATTCCGATCCAAGAAACAACAGGACAGCTTCATGGGGAAGGAATCCCCCTAGAAAAGTGAAATCAGAGATGGAACCTCTATCTCAGGGCGTCCCTGGGGTACAAAGAGTTGCAGGAGGTCTCTCGACAAGCCTCTTACACTTTCTGTTTCCAGCGTCGCCGGCTGCAGCCGTACTGTGGTGAGTGATCCCTGTCCCTGGTGAGCGCCCAGAGGAAAGCTGACCGTGCGCTGGTGCAGCAGCCAGAGCCCCGTCTGCTGAGCAAGGGCCGTGAGCGTGCCTTTCCCGCCGAGTTGCGGAGTGAAGCAGGGTGTCGTGGCGTCCGTCGTGCCTCGCAGCGCCTCAGGCTGGCATGGCCAGCGCTGTTCTTGACCGTAACTCTGCGCCTCTGCTCACCTGCCCAGCAGTGCCGTGGAAGGCACCCACCGACACGCCGTCAGGAAGCGAGACTGCGCCGTGGGATTCCTGCATGAGAGGCTCTCTCTGTGGAGAGCAGTTTGATCACAGCAGGTCTGGAAGAGAGAAGTCCCTGTGTTTCCATGTAACGTAAACACATACTCAAAAAGGGTTATGCTTGGGGTGTTTCCATCTGATAAACCTCAGAGAGAATAGGCACGACTGCCTTACCACTCGTGCCAGCAGCGTTCAGTGACCCCGCCTGCAGAGCTGACTCAGGGGAGGAAGTACTTTGCCTGAGAATACCCTCTTTTGGTTTACAAAGATAACGGTGAGTGTGGGAGTTGAATTTCATTATTTTATTCCATGAAGAGTGTTTCAGGAAGGCTAGCAAGGGAGTCAGGGCTTCGTGACATCAGAGGGGGCCCTTCATTCTCATCTGCTTAGCCAGAGGCGGTGGATCCGAGGGCTGCTGCGCGGCACGGCTGCAGTAGGGAGCCTCCCAAGAGCGGGAGGGTTGGCTGCAGCATCCCTGCTCGTTAGACAGTTCCATCTCCCTGGAAGAATGAAAACACAGAGGTAATTTAGTGGCTACTATTCCTGCGACTTCCCAAGGTTTTTCTTACTTCCCAGTGGTGGTGGGAAGCTGTCAGTGTGCGTACAGGCTGCGATCACGTTCAGCGCCTGGCACCGCTGCAGGGCTTCGGCTGCGCTTTAGAAAACGTGATCGTGGCTTTGAGCAAAGGCCAGTTTAGTTTACCGGGCTGCCAGCCCGTCCCGTGTGGGTATACCTGACCTCAGCACACGACACGGTGCGAGAGAACCGTCAGCCGCTCACCCCACAGCAGCCGCAGCATTTGCAGTCCCCACAGATCATCCCGAACAGGCCGTTCACCGCCTGAATGCCGCAGAGCACTGCCTGGGTCCCACTCATGACAAGCAGCAAGGAGAAGAGGGTCAGGTTCCACGGGACGATGTTTTCGGGTGATTTACACGCGCTCCAGAGTGTGTGGTTAGCGAGGTAATTCCTGGGGGGAAACACAGCAGTTACAAATCACAGCACAGTTTGGGTTGTGTGTGGGCCCCTTCGACGCTCGCTAGTGCTGACTGTACGTGCCGGTCCTTACGCCCAAGCCCCTGAACCCGACTGAGCGTTGCTGTGCCTGGTTGGCTCTTCGCAGAGCTCTGGTGCTTCAGACGGACGGGATCGTTCCCGTTTTTACACGATGGATTTGGAAGTTAAATCACATCACAATCTTAAACCATGTATAACTTTCTGTCTTACCCATCCTGGAAAGGGTAGGTCCAGTCTGCTCCGGTGTCACATTTAGGGCCTCTGTTCAGGGCTACTGCTGACAGAACAAAGCTGTATCCAGCTCCCAGAACTCCAACAGCAGCGAATATTACAGAAGAGAACATCTGGGGAAGGGAGAAGTGATGTTATTTTTGTGGGCATTCATCCAACGAAACGTACCCTGTTAAGGTGAACGCGCACTCCCTGACTCCGCCTCCTCACGGTCAAAAAGGCAGCTCCTGAGTAGGTTCCTTGGTGGTTACGTAGGAAGGGTCCCGCGCCTGCCTGCTGGCACTGGAAGCTTGGAAAGCGTGGCACCCTCAGCCGAGGGGATGGGGCGGGCGCTGCCACGGTAGATGGCACTGCTCCCCTCCGGACTGGCCGCCCTCCCTCTTCCTCACCGCCTGCGCTTCACCCCCACGAGCGTCTCTCGAGGTTGTCCGCGAGGCTGAAGTCTCGGACCGCTCAAGGCATTAAGGATTCTGCAGCGCCCTTTAGAGGTTCTCTTTGCTCTCTTGGTCGTATGTGGACCACAGAGTGATAGGTTTCCTTCCTCCCCTTCAGGTTTCCTACGGGAATACGTATCTCCTGGCAGATCCTGGTCGTCGCCAGCTCTACCAGTGCAGGTGGAGTGGATGGGGGGTGGCTTTGTTTCTCTGGCTCTCCCCTTGAGCACTGCCAGCTCTACCAGTGCGTGAGTAAAGCGCTCAGAATGCCCTG